GCATACTGTCGCCATCTACTACCTAGAAGCATCGCCATTTGCGGGCGCGACACCGCACGTGACACCCTCCACCGCGGCGAATTATGATTGTCTTGTCACATATCCATCGGAAGAATACCCACGTCAAAGAAAAATGTAAGTATTGATCTGGCGAGCAGGGGAATAGGAAAATCGGAGAATGCGCGGCTCGGGAGCATGTGCGCCAAAGAAGTAATGGGAATCGATCGACTCCAGTCACTAGCGAAGGGGAAGAATTGGAGAGTTGGATAGTACGAGTCGATTAACTCCCATCTACTACTTTGACTCGCTTATTCTCCCGGTGTGCGCCTTCTCCGATCCTTCTAATCCCCTATTCTCCGATCTCGTCAGGTCAACACTCTTTATTCCTTAGTCGCTCGTTCTCCCATCTTGCAGTGTCGCACAGTATGAACGCGACCTCACCATCATTGAGCCCTTATTCCAGGTATTTGTGAACTTTCAAGAGGATGGAGCCGTTCGCTCACTTGCCAAGGCTTTATTGAAAAAGGATTTTGATCTCGAGGTAAAATTTTACCTCATTTCCTCCAGCGGTTTTGGTTTCCTACATTTACTTTAGATTGAGCTCCCAGACGGTTGTTTAGTTCCTCGTGTTCCTCAACGCTTGAATTATATACTTTTTATTGAAGATTTATTAAAACTCAATCAAATTGAACAGGATATTGTGGGTATTGACATTGGTCAGTTTCTTTATTGTCTTCCATGCATTTGTTTTTTGTAGTTTATTACTTCACGACATTCTCTCTTGGGCTTTGTTCATACTTTTCGTCAGCGAGCGTTTTGGGCGGAAGGGAATTATTAGGTTGATGCATATGTTTCTGGCCCCCTGTTTTGATCCTTCCGTATTTCGTTTGCATGGAGGTATTTCGTCATCACGTGTGCGTGACGTGTACATGATACTCTTTCATCACACTAGCTATCACTCACCCACCCTGCATTTGCAGGCCACAATGCCGCACAATTACCACTGTGAAACCATGTCACAGTGGTGATTGTGCGGCATTGTGGCCTTCTTCGGTCCCAGCCCCCGTCCTTCTGGGACGATGGAATCTGAGCGTTGGCGTCGAGTAGTGGATGGTGATGGTGCATACCTCTAATCTTCAGGCTGGTTCGCTATTGAGATATTTACAAAAAGTCGGGGCAAAGACATATGCATCAACCTAATACAAGTATCGATCCATCGTTTTGCGAGGAACACGAACATGTGCTTTTCCTTTAACGTAGCGTTTCTCTCAAAACGTTGATGGATACCTATACTTTCCTTTTCCCGCAAAACACTAAACACGATCAAAGGACGACCAAAAGTATGGACAGCCCTAACGAGTAATTACATCTTGAAAACCTTGATGCCATACTTTGCGAATGTGAGAAATACCACTAGTAGTAGCAACAGCACGCTGGGGTGGAGTCAGTTTCCATCTATTCTTGCTATTCCTTGTCGAACATTCTTCTGCGTCTGGTCGTCGTTTCCCAAATTGCGACTTACGCGCGTCCAAAGTTTGGGCGCATCAATGTCAAAAAACTGATCACCTCACCCGCACAGCGACTTCTCAGGCTCGACGACCTGTTTTTCTCAACTGGAAAATGTATGCACAGTCTGGTGCCACCTACACTATAGAGCCTAAGACTGCTTCATATTTTGCGTGCGCGTTTTGAGCGACTAGGAAAGTGTAGATATCGATCTAGCGTTTTGAGCATGCGGCAGCATCTTACTAGGGAGGTCGTTCAGGACGTGGAGCGCTTTTTGAAAACGGTTTTTTGCATGATGTGGGGTTACGTGCATGGAGTACCAAACTGGTGTTCATTTTTCCTGAACGCCTCTGGGAATGCCAAAAATGGAGTGAAAAAGAAGTCCATGGAAACCGACTGTTTTTGAGCCTGAATGGGCTCTAAATCACTCGCAACTTCGGCCAGTTGCTGCCTATAGGGTCCTTATAAAGGTACTGGTATCGATGAGAAAAGTAGTCGCCAATGGGGTCCTACTTGTGGCACGTAGTCCCCAATTTGGAGCCAAGTCTTTCTCCCACTGGAGTCGCTATGTACATTCGTTTGAGGGACTTGCAGGGCCATTCTGACGCCAGATTGGGTTGATGTCAAGAATAAGTGTCAGAATCGTGATCAGGACCATCGATTACCCCTATAGGCAAACTTTCAGCCAAAAAATTTTTTTGACTTTTTTGAGTCTGTGCATTGGGTTATGCTCAAGAGTCACTTTGTTGAAGTCGTACTTTTGCTGGTTATCGAAACCCTCATTCAGTGGTACGGAAACAAAAAACTAGCAACAACCATAAACGCCATCGAAAAAAAGAACAAAATAGTCATCATTCCTCCAGGTGCATTTGATGAAGAAATCGGATGAGTCTCTCCTCTTGGTAGGGGAGGACGACATCTTCGTTGAGCGAGCCGTCGCGGGGGTCGACAAATGTCCAGGATGGTTTTTCACTTGTTCTGCGGCCACCCATGCCCATGCCAAGTATGAATGGACCTTATGAGCACCAAATCCGCGATGCGGCTGCCCGGCGGCCCACCACGTCATCGCTACGTCATCGCAGCTCCAAAGTTGTGGGTCTCCGGTCATCACCGACGACCAAATGGTCGGTCTATCACAACTCAAAAAAAAGTCAAAAAATTTTTTTGGCCGAAAGTTTGCCTATAGGGGTAATCGATGGTCCTGATCACGATTCTGACACTTATTCTTGACGTCAATCCAATCTGGCGTCAGAATGGCCCTGCAAGTCCCTCAAACGAATGTACATAGCGACTCCAGTGGGAGAAAGACGTGGCTCCAAATTGGAGATAAATGGCACTAGAGCTGAAAGTAAATGCCATAGTCATGATCAGGGCATCGAATAACATAAGCTCAGCTTTCAGACAAGTTCTTGCTTAATGGTATGTGAAATCGAAATTGCTGAATAGCACCGACTACGGGCTATAACTATTTAGGATGTGCCTATAAATGGCAGATATCCGAGTAAAATTCATTAACAGACGTATATGGAAGCGACAACAACGGAAAATAAAAAATGCAAAAACGTGCAAGCCGAGGGGAGTCGAACCATCATCCCCCATCCCCACTGCCTGCTTGGGAATCCTCCACGCTATCCACTAGGCCATCCGATCGTTGGCACAGGCACCACTTCGATTGCTTAAGAGCCCATTCGAATTGGCCGTCGACTCTTAACTACGTGCCACAAGTAAGACCCCATTGACGACCACTTTTCTCATAGATAACCTTTATAAGGACCCTATAGGCAGCAACTGGCCGAACTTGCGAGTGATTTAGAGCCCATTCAGGCTCAATAACAGTCGGTTTCCATGGACTTTTTTTCACTCCATTTTTGGCATTCCCAGAGGCGTTCAGGAAAAATGAACACCAGTTTGGTACTCCATGCACGTGACCCCACATCATGCAAAAAACCGTTTTCAAAAAGCGCTCCACGTCCTGAACGACCTCCCTAGTTAGTGCTGCCGGCTGAACACTCAAGACGCTGCCATACGCTCAAGACGCTAGATAAATACACTCTACTTCGCTGCGGACGGTTGGGCGTGTCAGCCAGAAGGAGTGTGTCACCCTCTTTGAGCTGTTCTCTGCCTTCTTGTTGAAACGGGCATGCGACAAAAAACATCAGAAAACAAGTAACACGAAGGGTATGATACAGTATTTTTATTTGCTCGCTTGTACAACTCGTGGAGAACGAGTTTGGCACCACGCCAAACGCAGCGCACGAACACGCCCAACAATGAACTACGTATATCGTATATTTTCCGAGACAGAACTTCTGAAAGTATGAACGCACTCTTACAGATGCCATTTCCAGGTACTGGAGCGTCTTGTGTTTATGCTTTATTGGGTGCACGTTGGGCTGGATGGAAATTTATAGCCACAGAAGCGAACGATGAAGCCGCTCATGCAGCCAATGACAATGTCGTTCGTAATCAGCTCAGTCATCTCGTACGGGTTGTACATGTTAGTGAACACTCTCCAACGCTAATCAAGGTAAGTTCCTTGTGTAGGGAAATCTTCGGTTTTTCTTACTGTCCAGGTAACTTCTCCTTCATATTTTTAGCTTAGTCTCTGTCAGCCTCGGTAATTGCCTTTGAACTTTGGCATTTTCCCTCCGTTTTCAAGAAAAATTAAAAAAAACTTGAATGTAGTACAAAATTAGTCTATGCTTGAAGGCTGGAGGAAAAGGGCAGTAATCGCATAGTCCTTACTTGTTGGTATCAACTGTTTTCATTTCTCACCCTCATCTCACCATTCGAAGTGAAGAGAGTTAGTAGCAGACCACCATCAGGGAACCATCAGAAATGAAGGGTGGGCGGTGCCAATGATAGGGGGATGGGCCAATGAGAGGACGGTATCGCGGGCCTCCTCACTCGTTTTTGCGCCGCGAAAGTGTGCAGTCGTTGCTTCTGCGGACCTGACTACCTGCTCACGAAGGGAGAGGAATCCATACTTTGCGACTCGACTTTTCTGAAGAATGGCGTTTTGAGCGGCGATCGCCGATCTTGTACTGTACTTTTCGATCAAACTCTGAACACCAATTCCCCCAAAATGTTCGGAAAGCCGATGGGTATAAAGTGCTAAGATGCTTCTCAGAGGAATTTTTCCTTTAATTTCTGGTCACTTATTCTAGGATTTGACTCGGCAATTCAGTGATCTACAGTTTTCATTCTGTATGTGTAACCCACCATTCTTTGAGTCGTGTGAAACTGACAAGGTACATTTTCATTGATCTCGTCACTTTGTATTTATTTCTCTTCTTGCTATTTTTAGAGGTTTTCCGTTGATACAGCTTCTGGAACCATGTTGAACGAATGCGCAGTTCGATTGTCCGCAGGCTGAACGTCTCCTCCAGGTCGGCAAACAGTTGGCACGTCGAGGGAGCTTGAAGTGGAGTAAGAGTGTAAATTCATTCGAGTCCCTATAAAGTTGACTTTTTGAACAGTTGGAGCCAACAGGTAGTGTACGCTAGGTTCTCCGCCACACATGGCTATCGCGAATGTGTCTGTGGCCAATGAAAAGTAGTTTGCCCCTCTTGGGTAGTTGCGTCGGGAACATAGAGGATGGTTTAGCTTTGAGGCGGTAATTTATTGTGAAAAGCAAATCAAATAGACAGAAATGCTCTAATATGGCCCCTAACTTGGATGGTTATCAGACCGTTTTCGAGTTGCAAAAGCGGATTGTGTCTTCAAGTTTGCGTCGTATTTACTCTAGAAGCTTGCCTTCGAATCCTTGTTACAGTACTCATAAAAAAACTTGTTTAACTTTCGAAGTCTTTTGCCTAACGTTCAGCGCTGAATATTCCGGAAATAATCAATTGTGTCTTCATTTTTCTTCATCTGCCTCAGTTTTTACTGCTTTCATGCTATGTGAAAATACCGATAACTGGATGGCATTTTTGAAAATTGACTCCTCTTTCTTTTCTTGGGCGAAGAGGTAGCGTTTGTTGGCGCCTTATCGATGGACAGTGGTTCTTCTTCAACACAAGTCAGGGTGAACATAGTTGGACGGTTAGTTTCTTTGAGTTATTCTACATTCAGAGCGCTACATGTCGTTTGTAGTGGTTGGCAAGAGTCGTAGATACTGAGCACTACTGCTCTTGCTAAGGCTCTGAGCCGCATACTATTCACTAGCGTTAACTAACGCTTTGAAGCGCACCTGTAAGCAGCTATCAGCATACCAACTCTTGAGCTTGTAAGTACCGGAAATACTTGACATCACCCTGTGAACCTTGTTGTCACGAGTCAGGTACACTGTAAGCTCCTGTCATTTTCAAAATGACGTGGTCAGTTTTGAACAGAAATTAGGCAAAATGGCGCTTCAATCACGGCTAGCTACAATTTCGCCAAGTTTGGCATGGAAAGGTAAAGATGTTACAGTGATACGTGACAGGAAATTTAACGGACCTTGGCAGGATGTGACAGGATTGATGAAAAAACAAAGCGAGAAAAAGCAAATACGCACTGTTGAACAACCTTGCAGATGATGCTACCGTTCAGAGTTAGTAGCAGCGCAATCTGGAGATAACGTCAAGAGCGAAATTTGCCTCTGGCATACCATCACGTGTCCCACCCAAACATTACAGTAGCGCCTTATTTAGCTTGCAGAACCATTGTAACATCATTCTTTCGTGAAATAATCTGGAAAATACTCGTTTTCGCACTGCGCTTGTAAAATGTAAGCCCATGAATGCAAAACGTAGTTGTGCCGGCAAGCATTTGGTCTCCAGTTTTAACTTTGGAATCAACGCTGATCTCGTGCACAACATCCTCTTTTATCGAACGGCCAATCATTTTCGATTTTTGGTTTATTTTCTTTATTACATTTGCCTTTCTTTCTTATTCTGAAGTGCAACATTAGCTAGCATACAATAACATTTGCTATTACTTGTAGTATAGTCGGCGAAACCGTTGAGAAAAGCCATATCCGTAAGCGACCTCCAGATACATAACCGGTAAACTGCAACATGTGAGTACCGGTAAAACTTGCAATTCACCTGTGCAGTCTTGTTATCACCTATCAAGCATCCTATAATTCAAGGCCCGCCATAGCGTTGTGATCAGTTCCTGAAAAATACGACCCCCTAATTCCATCCTCAAATACGACCTCCCCCCTCTCAATACTAACCTTACCACTAGTCCAAGGGATTTTCGCTCACTTCCTAGCACTTTTTGTCTTATTTCCCGAAAGATTTCTGGTTTTCCCCAAAATTATCTGTGTGGAGTTGTGGGTTGGAGAGATCGTCACACCCGGATTTACGCGTATGCATTTTCGACTGTCTGAAATAAGTAGTTATATAGATCTTTTGGCATGCTCTCATTCCAACACGACAAACCTAGGACCCACCCCTTTAATAGCGTCCGTTAAACAAGAGAGATCAAGTGTCAAAAAATTTTTTTCGTGACCAAATGCGACCCCCTCCCCCTCACGGTCAGATACGACCCTCCCGTTGTGACCATCACAACGTGCCCTGCTATAATTTCCTGCCATACTCGCCAAAATTACTGGTGAAGACTTGAAGAAATGAGAAACGGCGTTCCAGGACGTCAGCCCCGTCTCGCCCTTGACAGGAGTTCACAGGGTCCTTGTCAGCAATTTACAAGACTTGCTGTGTGCTTTTTCGTGATGGCCAGAATTAAAAAAGCAGAGGTCAGAAGACGTATTGAAAAAGCTTACAAGTTTTGGTCTTCCTGCCCCCCCCCCCTCCAATGATTGTTAGCGCCGTGTCGCTTCTGATTTTTAGATTGTTTACTTCATCCGTTTGTTTTTCTTCTTTTTTTTGCATTGGCCTCCTTCAATACGCTTATCAATTTAATCTGTTACTTGTGTTATCTGCTTCACTCTTTCGCCCTTCTAGTGCATCATGTTAACGTGGGTTAGCCTACAGGTTTTTATTTTCAGTATTTATACAACTATGCTTGGGAAGAAAAGCAGTGTGAACGCGTTGTGCCGTCGACTGTCTAGAATAGATGGTGTACGTTATGCGGTGTCAACACTATCACAAGGAAGAACTCAACGATGGGTATTAGCGTGGACGTTTCTGGCGAAGATTCAGCTGGAAAATGTGAGCCGATTTCCCAGCTTTCTTCTCAGTTCATCTCATAATGAACTTTTCAGAAGAATTACTCTTCGCTTTATCTCATTTGTCCAAGCGATATCAAAACGTCGCCTCTACTTTGGGTTCGTTCTCATTTGGAACGTCTTGAAGTGGAAACGGAACGGGAGAGTGTGGAAATGGTATGGCTTACTCAGGTTTCTGCGGCTCTGAGAACTGGACACGCCCTTTTCTGTTTAAATACGCTTTCTATGGCTGAAGTTTTTGGAAAAGGGTTGTTGTGGGGGACATGCTCTCGGTGGGAGTTAGACGAACAGAAAAAGGCGTGGTTTCATTTTACTCCAGACTCCCTCAGCTTTCTTTACCCGACAATTGTTTTCTTTTGCAAAATGAAGATGTATTTTCAAGCTCACCTGCTCTGCTCGGAGAGTTACCTGGACGAATCAGCGTGCAAAGAGAAGGGCAGAAGCTAAGCTGAACCCTCCTGACGCAAAAAGAAGCAGGTAGGAGTTTTTAACCCGCTAAATATTGTTTAGAGTTTGCTCGTTTTCTGTATAAAGCGTAAATTACGGTGAGTGCCCACGTTCATTCAATGCGCAGACGCTTTTGGACATGGTGGTCCTTTTCGCAAGCATGAAAGATGTACTACTGTCGCAGCTCAGAATGCCTGCGACGCGCTCGTGGCGAGGCCACGGCTCCGCCCACTGGTCACGGCAACGCCCACTTCATTTCTGAGGGCTTCCTAATGATGCGGTTGCGGCTAATAAGCTCTCCACTTCGTATTTTGTGAATGGCATGGTAAGGAGAAAAAGAGCTGACACCAACAAGTGAACTCGTCTGACAACGTTCTATGCATGTAAAACGCCGTTCAGCAAGGGGTTCTCTATGGGCAATTTGGGATTTTGGGCGGTTCTTAGTGCTTTTTTTACTTTTGTTTTATTTACCACCTTGTCATTACTATATTAGCTTTCACAAATAAGAGCGAGGAGCCTGCTCTTCTAGGCAAAACTCGACAATTCGACAGTAATTTGATTAGATTTGACTATTAAAAATGGTTCATTAGTACTTATAGGCTATCCAATGTAGATGTCGGTTGTCAAATATCAATGGGAGTTGGTGATGGACGAGACTCATTGTCAAATGCTGGAAACTTCGAGTCCTGCACAAAAATACCCTCATCAGATGCGCAGATTGATGCTGAGATTCAGGTGCGATAGTTTTATTTTGCGTAATTTTGTATTGGGGACGTAAACGTAACATCTTGTTCACTGCGGATGACAGGGTGTGTCAGGCTGCTTTCCAACACTTTGCGGCGCAGCGAAACGCCGCCGCACCCCACAGCGAACAGAAAGCATGGATATCGATCTAGCAAGCGCTAGCGTATGCCAGCGTACGCCAGGGTTTTCGGAGCAATTTCAGCTCGAGCAAAACTGCTCGCGAAAACGCTACTGTTGCTGGTATACGCTGGGTCGATGCCTGTACTTGGTCGATACCTGTACTTTTAGTCGCTGGCGCAGGTATACACGAAAACTCCGTGAATGCAGCTTCAGGGCAGGGTTTAGTGTGGCGCCCACCCGTTCATCCACCAATCGTTGCCGGCGCGTCTCAACAATTGGTGGAGAAGTGGCTGGTGCCGGCCAAACCCAGCCTCCCTGACAGCATCCACAGCGAACAAGACCGTATCTGTATGGTTTAGGCTTATTTTCCATGCTCTTTACCACCTTCGATGTTGCGGTTCCGTGTCATACAATCTCGAGAAAATAATGGAGTTTCGTTCGAATTTATTGACGGCTATAAACCAGGGTTATATCAGCTTTTACAATATTTAAAAAACCAAATGAAATGATTCAAAATAACCAGAACCCTCGTAATGAATGTCCTAGTGCCTCCATTTTCAATGCTTGATGTATTATCATCGCAGTTCAGCTCGGTGGGGGCATTTTGCTAGTTCCTTTCAATCCGAAGAGCGTTTTGTTTGCAGTTGATAAGAATCTACAGGGGTCATAATTGTGAAATGTACAAGTTAACATTAGTAAAACAAGGTCGAACTAGGAAAATGCCCCTTACAAACCGAATATCTTCTTAGTCCCGCCTAGTATTAGTTCTCTCAGGATAGGTGCATCTCCGATCTTCTGTACATATGGTCTTTTATAAATTAAATACATTTTCCTCATGTTGTTATCACATATAGCTCTGTTAGCGTCCGTAATACGGTTATGCCCAGCTTTAATACTCTCGTCTATTCCCGGCGATGTGCTTTGCAATGTATAATATATTGTTGAGTCAAACTCTTGCATTATAAAATGTTCGTCACAAGTTTACTTTGTCTGAAATTTCAACGTTTGTTTCACATTTTGAATAAAGTTACAATGATTATGGGCCTTATTATCAGATAGGAGTGCCTTTTCATTAAATCTCCACGTTTTTCAACCATTCCGTTAGTACTTTCACACTAGCTGATTCAGTAGTCTCGTTCGCTGCTGGCGATAGGGCGTGTCGGCGAGGCGCGGCGTTCTTTTCCACCGACTGTTGTCGTCTACCCGCTTCAGCAGCTGGTGGAGAGCAGTTTGGCAGCGCGCCAAACGCAGGAGCACTGACACGCCCTATCGCAGTGCACAAGACTGTATAATCTGAGAAATAAGTAGATGGCTGCTGATTTGAAAACATCGTTCAGGACTGCCGGGTGGATGGAGCCATGGCCATTCCATGGCGGTATAGAGGGGGAGGAGGGGCCCGCCAAATGACGTCGTTTCCTGGCTCCGCCTCACGGGCGTTTTGAACGCTGTTTTATAGTATAGACTGAGTGTTAGGTCAATGGCTGGCTTTTATTTACTCCCATTTTGTACACTTCTGTTTGAATGTTTATCATTGACGGACCTTTGGAGAAAAGGGATATGAATGGAGATGAAGAAGTTGAATATGAAAATGCGCCAGCGTAGGCCAAGAGAGGATGGTGGTGGCGGGGGTGCGCATTCTGCGTTGCAAGAGGGGTGACCTTCTTTGCTTTCACACCAGGACCCAACCCACCCAGATTGGCAATGCTGCAGGGTGTCTCTGCATCTCTCAAGTCCACCACTTCTCTCTGTGCTTTTGTCTGTCAAGACAACTAGCTAGCGTTGCAGAACACCTGTCAACTGGATATTTGCTCATTAGGAGCGTCCAGCGGCACTTTCTCGTAGCATTTTTTGGCCGAGCATTCGAAAGGTGTAGAATAAGGGGGAGAAACAAAAGAAGGAAGAGAAAGAGAAAAGAAGGGAGGAGGGAGACCGCGCGGTTGACAGATATCCTAAGTCGGTGTGAAACACGTTTGTCTCCCGCAAAATGTTCATCATGGCGCCCCACATGAATCAGGGACCTCCTTAGGAAACTGGTTTGGATCGCTATCACCTACTAGAAAACCTCAGAACAGGTAAACCTGGTTTCAAACGTTCTGCAATTTCTCCAGAACCGCTAAAAGTGCAGTCAGCTTCGAGTTCGAGAGAAACGAATGTGTTGTGTTAGAAATGTGATAAGCCGCCACTAATGCGCTTAACTGGTAGTGTTTTTGTTCGCTGCAAGTGATCTGATAAAGGCTGTTCGAGGTGATGCTGTTATCAGTGGTTCTCAGCTTCTTGTAGATTTTATCAGTGTCGCACAAATAAGTGCGTCATGGTTGAAAATTACAATGTAACATGTTATCATCTCTTCTACTCCCCATCGTATTGTTTCTACTGGCTTGAAAGGAAGGGAAGTTCAGTTTGTTTTTATATTTATAAGTTTCTTGCGTGTTGATCACCCATAAATGATTCTAACGGCATCAGAGAGCTCCGTTGAGGACGATGGTTGAGAACCCTTAGTAGTGAACGGGATGACGTACGCTGTATTCGCTCCAGGACCCCATCCATCCAACGTGGCAGTGGTGCGGCGCGTCGACTCTCTCTCTGTCTCTTTGCGTCTACGCCTCTCGAGTCAGTTGTGTCTCTGTGACTTCTGTCAAGTCTACTAGCTAGTAGATACCCTGCTGGTGTACGCGCTGCCGCGGATGGGAAGTAACGCTCTACACTGAGAGAAAAATACTTGAAGAGGCACTGTACTAGACTAGATGAATTTTTCCCATATGCTAGTGAGCAGGTCCGCAGCTGTCGGGTTGCATCGCCCGAAGATCTG